GAACTCAAACCAGGGCTCAGTAACAACCTAGAGAAGTAGGATGGGGAGGGAGGTGGGAGGGCTGCTCAAGTGGGAGGTGACATGGGTAAACCGATGGCTGATGCATGTTGATGTCTGGCAGAAACCAACACAATACTGTAAAGCAATTATCCTTCAAGTAAAAATAAATGAAAAAAAAATGTCCCCAACTCCTTGATTATACAGAAATTCACTCATACTTTCTACTAGTATTAATATAGTTTTATTTCTTTTTTTTTTAATTAATTATTTATTTATTTATTTTTTATCACAACCATAGTGTATCTTTTTTTTTAGTTTTATTTCTTTAAAAAATTGTAAATCTTTGATCTGTTTGGAATTTATCTTGATGAAGAAAGAGATAGGTTTGTATTTTTCCCACTGGCTATCTATTCACCCTCACACTATTTATGAAGAAGATCTTTGTCTTTTTTTTTAAAGATTTTTTGGTATGTACCATAGTCTTCATTGAATTTGTTACAATGTTGCTTTTATGTTTTAGGTTTTTTTTCTGGCCATGAGGCATCTGGGATCTTAGTTCCCTGACCAGGGATCAAATCCTTACTCCCTGCATTGGAAGGCAAATTCTTAACCACTGGACCACCAGGGAAGTCCTGAAGATCTTTTTCTCCAAGATTTGAGATGCCACCTTTATTCCATATTAAGCTTCCAGATGCATTTAGGTTTATTTTTGGATTTTTAATTCTGTTTTACTGATCTATGTATTCATGTTTCAATACCACCTTACTATACAGGTTTCATAATGTTTTAATAACTGTTAAGGCTCAACTCTCATTTTCTTCCTTTTCAGGGTTTTCTCATATATTCTTGCTTATTTATGGTTTTGAATGAATGTTATAATAAAACTGTCTTAGCGCTGAGCCTCCCTCTTCTGTTGCTTTTGCAGTGTTAAAAAATATTGCCTTGTATTTTCTGACTTCTGCTTCCTCTGTTCTCTTCTACTTTTGCCTAGATTTTCTCTTCCTTTTTCCTCTAACATCCTTGTTAGTTTGAATTCTATTCTCAGAAGTTCCCTCTCAGAGAAAGCATTTTCTATATTTCATCCAGCATTTTTTGAAATTACTAATTCAGTCGTTGATTAGCTATGGGATTTTGGGCAAAACTATCCTTTGATATTTTTACCGATGCATTCCAAATGAAAAATAATCTTTGTTTTTTTACAGTTAGAAATAATTTCAGGCGGTTCTCAGTTCTATCAACAGAATCTGACTCACTTAATCTCTCCCTCCTTTTTTTAAAAAAATAATTTTTATTGTAGTTGCTTTACAAGATTGTGTTAGTTTCCACTGTACAGCAAAGTGAATCAGCTATGTGTATACATACATATATATATATATATATCCCCTCTTTTTTGGATTTCCTTCCCATTTAGGTCACTACAGACCATTAAGTAGATCCCTGTGCTATACAGTATGTTTTCATTAGTCATCTATTTTATACATAATATAAATAGTGTATACATGTCAATTCCAATCTCCCATTTCATCTCATTCCTCTCTTTCTCTCTTGGTATCTATGCTGTTGTTCTCTACATATGTGTCTCTGTTTCTGCTTTGTAAATAAGATTGTCTATACCAAATTTTTCAGATACCACATATATGCCTTAATATATGGAGCATTTGTTTTTCTCTTTCTGACTTACTTCACTCTGTATGGCAGTCTCTAGGTCCACCCAGGCCTCTACCAATGACTCAATTTTGTTCTTTTTTATGGCTGTCACTCCTTCTTGAAACATATTCCATCAACTTCCAAGATACCGCACACACCTATCTGCTTCCTAATTAACTTGCTGTTCCCCTCGGGCTCCTTCACTGTTTCCTCCTCATCCCCTAAATGCTGGAGAACCCTAAAACTCAGATTTCAAACCTCTTCTCATCTAAACCCATCCCCTAAGTGACTTTGTACTGGCTCATGGATTTAAACATATCAACAACTCCCCAGTTTTATACCTCCAGCCTGGACCTCTATTACGCACTCAAAATTTGTACATCTAACTGCTACCTTATCAATTTCTGTGGATGTCCCAAAGGCATCTCCAAATTTACTTACCCAAAACAGCATTAATATTTTCCTCAAACCTGTTTCTCCTATAGCCTTTCCAAACTCAGTTAATGACAGTTCTATTTTTCTAGTAGCTCAGGGAGACATTCTTCTTCCACTCTCTAATCCACCTACCCACAGGTTCAATCCTGTGGCTACAACTAGCAGCTCAGCTGGAATGGCTGAACCCACTCAGATTGCTGGGCTTCTGTCCACATAGCCTTCTCTCAAACTTCTTCAGATCTGGCCTCTTCAGGAATCCTAGAGAGCAAGCCCTGACATACAAGCACTTCTTAAATCTCTTTTTGATTTTCTTGGTGTCTTAATGTATTATTTGAGCTCAGTGTTTTTACTACTAGGGTAAGTTCAAGGGAGAAGAACCAACCCATATAAATGTGTGTGCCCATGGACAAATGACTGTGCTAAGCCCAGATACCAGGAGATTTCTCAGTTTGACAGTTACTTATTCATTCCTCATTTGTAATCAACAAACTTTTGCAAAGTTGCAGTTAGTTGGCATTTTGTGGGTCCTGGTGATGTGAACACAGCACTCAGCTTTTCCTCCCCACTGATAGGATAGTTCCTCAGCTATTTTGTTTGTTTTCTTTCTATGCTAAATAATCCCAGGATTTTCTTTGAGGTCTATTTTGCATCTAAACCCTCAAATGTTCACAGCTTTAGAGATCAGAAGGACTCTCTATGCACCTAGTTCTCCAGTGTTCTGTAACTTGTACTTGTCCAAACCTTTTCATTTTTTTGTTAGTTCTGTTTTAAGTTTTCTGATCCTTTTATTTGCATTCTTTATCTAATCCTTTCAATGGATTATTTTGATTTTTTCTAACTATATGAGTTGAATATTTAATTCTTTTATTTTCATTCTTGCTTTCTTAGTAAGAAATATGAGCTACTAAATTTCTTTCCATGTATAGAGCTGTCTACATATTGAATTTTCCCACCCATTCTCCCAGCTCAGGTTCACTGGGGAGCAAGCTTTCTCTTACCATCTCTCTCTGATATAATTTCTATCTTTTAAATTAAAAGCAGTTTGGGGTCACTCATTTGGCAATTTCTGTGAAGGATGGCACTGTTTATTTTCACAGAACCTTCTCTCTGCCTTAGCATAGTGACTTTCCACAAAAATTGATAACAATAATGGATGACGCTAATGTAATACTTAACACTTACCCTGTGGCTGGCATTGTACTTTATACCCATAATTTGAACAACTCCAAACTAATCTTCCATGCCCATTTTACAGTGGAAATAGGTCTTTTTGTCTTGTGTTTCTATTCCTGGAACATGAAAAACATGCCATTTTAGGGCCTTTTCTCGCTGACTTTGTCCCTCTTCCTCCACCTTCCCATTCAGTACTCAGAGCAAATAAATGACATTTCTTCAAAGCTTGACTGGCCACTGGATATAAAACAGCCTTCCTCCATGCACTCTATTTTATTTTGTTCAGGTTTGTGTTTTAGTTGCTCAGTCCTGTCCGACTCTGTGCAACCCTATGGACTGTAGCCCGTCAGGCTCCTATGTCCATGGGATTTCCCAGGCAAGAATGCTGGAGTGGGTTGCCATTTCCTTCTCCAGGGTATCTTCCCCACCTAGAGATCGAACCCAGGTCTCCCGCATTGCAGGAAGATTCTTTACCATCTGAGCCACCTGGGAAGTCCCCTATTTTGTTCATAGTACTTATCTTAAAATTACTTTGCACATTTATCTGCCTCCACCACTAGACTTTCAACTGCAGGAGTGGGAATTTAACTGAATAAATATTTATAGAATCAATAACTGAGACAATATGCTTGGGCGGGCCAAAGGCAAATAATAGAACCTGAGGAGGAGTCAGTATTTTTAGGCTCTGCCGAGTAAAAGCAACAGTTACTTTTGAATCTGAAAGTTTGATCCTGGGAAGTAAGAGACACCCCTCCAGAGACTTGTGACTTAGAAGCCTGTGCTCAATTTCGACTGGGATTCCTCTTCTGTGAAATGAGGAGGAGAAAGAACCCTTTGGGTTCACTGCCACCCACTGTGACTCTACTCAGATAAACGTACCTCAAAAACCGCCATTAGAAAGATAGGGAGGAGGAATAGTCTCAGCAGCAGAGAAGGGAGTGGAAGGGACTGCGGGTTTAGGAGGAGGAGAGGGGGGACGTCTGTTAACCCTGGGGACCGAGGGGCAAGGGTGAGGGGGCAGCAAGTGGGGGACGCGCAGAGGAGCGCGCCGGGGTCTGAGGAAGCGCAGAGCGAGCGCGGTCAATCCTCTGGGACTGAGCAAGATAGGGCCTGGAGTGCAGGAGCGGTGAAGGGCTGAAGGAGGGTTGGGGGGGGAAGGGTGATATCCTGTAACCCAGAGGCGCGAAGCGGCGGTCAGAGGTCAGGAGGGGGCGCGGCAGGAGTGGCCAAGTGTCCAGGAGCCGGGCGAAGTCTCTCCTGCTGGGACTGGGCAGGACAGGGCGGGGCCCTGACAGGTGTGAGGTGCGGACCTGAGGGAAGTGGCGGACATTCGGGGGTCACCGCGGAGGGTCCCTGGAGGCGGAGAAAAACAAAGGCGGTACGGAGGGGAGTCGGCGGATGCGAACGAGGCGCCGAGGGCCGCAGGTCGCGCGGGGAAGTCGTGGCGCTCGCAGGGGTCGCCGCGGGAGCGCCCAGGGGGCGCGGCTTGCGTGGAGGGGGCGGGGCGGGGCGGGGTGGGGCCAGGAGCCGGGATGCGCGGGTCGCCGGGGGCGGGCGCTGCAGCGGCGGGGCGCGGGCCAGTGGCCGTCTCCTCACTTCCGGGAACGCCTGGGCTACGAGGCCGCCCCCTGCTCACCGCGCAGCCAGCCGGCCGGCCGGGACCGCGAAGTGGGTGAGCGCGCAGTTACGAGCCGAGTCAGGCCGAAGCTCCACTGTCCGCGCGGGCCCGGCCTCTCTCTGCGGCCATGGGAGCGTCTGCGCGGCTACTTCGCGCAGCGATCATGGGGGCGCCGGGCTCTGGCAAGGGCACGGTGTCCTCGCGCATCATCAAACACTTCGAGCTGAAGCACCTCTCCAGCGGGGACCTGCTCAGAGATAATATGCTTCGGGGCACAGGTTGGGAGCCCGGGCGGGAGGGGTGGCCGCGCGCTGTCACCGGGTGGCGCTCTGTGGGCGGAGGGGCCGGGGCGCGGGAAGTGGGTCCAGCGAATGCAGGTTCAGGGGTGCGGGCGCAGTCTTTTCCAGTTGCCGCCCAGTGCGGAGTCCTCGGACTGCTGAGCGACTGCTCCCCGAAACCTCTGACCTCAGTGCACAGCTTCAGGCGGGTTACTGAGGGAAGGCATAGGACACGTTCGAAGTTCAAAGAAGAAAGGAAACCACATGGTTTTGAGAAGTTTGTCCAGTCCCAGTCGCAGCTGCTCCTAAGGGTCCACCGAGCTGTGTATGGCTTATTTTCCTTGTGTGTTTGCGCTTGGAGAACTGTTAGCTCTTCCTTTTTTTTACTTTTTGTTTGTTAAACCCTATGGAACTTTCTGGGTCTGACCTTTCCCCCATAACTTGATGACCGAGTATTATTTAGGTTCATTGCTGTCGCAAAATTGGCTTAGATCTTTAGACACGAAAGCTATTCTTGTGCCTTGTTATCTGAAAGATTGTTTTGTTTCTCATTCCAAATAAATTCTTATAACTCAGCACAAAATCTAGTCAACAAACTGTACACTGTACAATGGGTGGACTTTATCTTATGTAAATTCTGTCTTAAGAAAGCTGTTTTCAAAAAGTCAACAGCAAGGTGAGCTGTTTTTTTTTTCTCTCAAAAGCGTTGACCTTTATTTTCCAAAACAAAGTCATTTTATGCTCCTTTTAGAAAGTAGAACTAATCCCTTACACAAGTTAAAAAAGAATTGGAAACAGTTTTGGATGGAAGTACATAATAGTAAAAGCAAAGTCCTCTTATCCCCTACCTCAGTCTCATTCTTCAGAGGGGAGCAGTGTCATGTGTTACCTTTTAGAAATCTGTATTTATGTGCAAGCGTATTATCCGTATCCTTTGTTTTATGCAATATATAATCCTACTAAAAATGTGTTCTGGACCAATGTGTTTTCACCTTATATCTGGGATATCTTTCCATCTGAAAACACAGAAATCCATTTCATTATTTAATGTTTGTGTAGGTGTCTATTTGCTGGATCTGCTATGATTTATTTAACTAATCCCCTACTGATGGGTCATGTAGGTTATTTTCTGGTGAGTTTTCCTTGGTTTTAAGACACTTGACATTTAAATGAAAAGAAGAATCACCCCACTTTTTTTTGTTTCTTGGAGTTCTGTGGTTCATCACCTAATCTGGTGAATTACTAGTTTTATTTGTCTCTTCTAACATTGGTCTTCAAAAAAAAACCAAGTATTTTGTAGTTAATTAAGCTTCAGAAGGTTAAACTGTTTGGCTTACTTGCTAAGTGTTCTTCATGCTATGTATTGATGTCGTTAGGTAACAATATATAGTCCCTGGTACTGCAACCCATTGGGGTAAGATTATCCAAACTGGAGAGAAGTGAAGAATCTGAAAGTGAATCTCTGAAAAATAACTCTGAGGCATAACTGCATGGTTAGAGACTGCCTTCAGTGGAGTTAAAGATATGTTAACTTGTGAAAACAGAAAACTTAAAAAAATTAAATTTAAAGCAAATTAACTGAACTTTTAAAATTAAGAAACAAACCTCTTTGTTTATCTATAACATCCCTTGACAAGCCCATCATCCTCTTCCTGATTCCACAATGTGAAAAGAGAGACTAGAGGGAGGCAGGAGAGGATCTCTGGGAAAGATGTTCAGTCTGCCTCAGACACCTGCTCTTTCTGGAGTCTCTACAGGCAGTTCTTTAACAAAAAAAGCAGAAGATGGAGTTGAGGGAGGTGTCATGAGGTTGTTACTACAGATGGTCTGTATCTCAGTTCTAAGAATACATTGTCAGTAAATATTTGTGAACGGATTGGATATTTCACACAGGATCAGCATCAAAGGAGAGGTGTAATCTTTTATTTAAAAAATACTGTTTAATGTTTTTTTGATGCTAAGAAAAACATTTATTATAAAGTAAGAAAAACATGACAGTATAAAGAAAAGTAAAGTCCTTTATAATTCTACCATCCAGACACAACTATAATTAGCTGTTTGGTGCTTTTTCTTCTATTCTGTTTTTTCTCTTTTTTTCTCTATTGTATTTGCATGTATTTGAAAAATTGTTATAGTCTAAATGATTGCTTGGATACCTTATTGTGATTATGTTCACACATCACTAAGTAGTGTTTAAAATGATATTTAATTTCATCAAGATTGCATAATTATTAATTGAAACGTTTCCCTATTATTATACACTTATGTGGTTAACCATTCTTTGCTATAATTAATATTGTTATGACTTTGTTGGTACATGAATATTTGGCAGCATTTCTACTTACTTCCTTCAAATAAATTCCATACTGTGGAATTTCTATAAATACTGTGTCATCAAATAGTGCTAAGGAAGGATGGTGCCAGTTTACCTTCCAACTACCATTTCACAATGATACTGTATTTATAATACATGTCTGTATTTTATAACTAAAGTTTAAAGTCATTGCAGCAGATGTGATAAAGACCCTGGAAATAAAAGGCAACCTATGGACAGAAGCAAACCTTGAGTAACTGTAGACCACCACTGAACCCTGGAGTCAGAAAACTTGAGTGTCTGCCCCTTTGTCATTAGTCCAGCCCTCTCATTTAGAGATGAGGAAATAGAGTTCAGGAGAGGTTAAAGAACTTGCTCAATAATAAAAAGCAAAAAAAAAAAAAATAAATAAATGATAAAAAGCAGTCACCGGGAGACAAGTGTGAACACCCAGGTCTCTTGTATGCCAATTAAATTACTCTTCCCATTATGCAGTATTTCCCAAATTGAGATTCATGAGATAATTTTAGGTAGACAAAAAGTTTTCTCTAAAAGAAAAATAAAATTCAAATTAATAAAATCAATAAAAATTTTTATTTCAACTTGTATTTGAAAAAATGATAACTAGCACACCAACCCTTTAATTTCTTGAACAGCATTAAATTAAACAGCTTATTAAAAGAGTCATTTTTTAAAAAAATCTCTTTTCCCATTATTTTTTTAAATTTATTTTTAATTGGAGGATAATTGTTTTATAATGTGTGTTGGCTTCTTCCATATAACAATCTGAATTAGCCATAACAATACATATGTCCCCTCCCTCTTGAAACTCTCTCCTACCCCCCACTCCATCTCATCCCTCCAGACTGTCACACAGGACTGTGTTGAGCACCCTGTGGTGGTGGTTTAGTTGCTAAGTTGTGTTCGACTCTTGCGACCCCATGGACTGTAGCCTGCCAGGCTCCTCTCTGTCCATGGGATTCTCCAGGCAAGAACACTGGAGTGGGTTGCCATTTCCTCTCGGGAAGTGGATCTTCCTGACCCAGGAATCAAACACGGGTCTCCTGCATTGCAGGCAGATTCTTTACCAACTGAGCTACAAGACCCCGCATTATATAGCAAATTTCCACTGGCTATCTGTTTTACATATGGTAATGTATACGTTTCAACACTACTATCTCAACTTGTCCTACCATCTTCTTTCCACTGTGTCCAAATTCTCTATGTTTGTGTCTCCATTCCTGCCCTTCAAGTAGGTTCATCAATACCATTTTTCTAGATTCCATATATATATGTGTGTTAATGTATGATCTTTGTTTTTCTCTTTCTAACTTCCTTCATTCTGTGTAACAGGCTCTAGGTTCAGTCACCTCACTAGAACTGACTCAAATGTATTCCTTTTTATGGCTAAGTAATATTCCATTGTATGTATGCCCCACATCTTCTTTATCCATTCATCTGTCAATGGACATCTAGGTTGCCTCCATGTCCTAGCCATTGTAAATAGTGCTGCAGTGAACATTTGGGTACATATGTTGTTTTGAATTATGGTGTTCTTAGGGTATATGCTCAGTAGTGGGATTCCTGGGTCATATGGCAGTTTTGTTCCTAAAAAAACTGAGTCATTTTAAAGAAAATTACATAGTAAATGATGGATCTGCTATGGCAGAAATTGTACGGTTGCCATGTGATTGTCCAAATTTTGAGAAACTGAACTGCTGCTTGGTGCTTCTCAAAAACATAATCCTGGACTAAATGAACCCCTTTTGAATCTCATTTGTTCTCATTTGTGAATTGGGAAAATAGAACTCAGTAGGTAATCCTCAAAGTGTCTGTCAGCTCCCAGGTTTCTGTATGTCTAACAAAACTTCTAGTTTGTACACCCAGACAGCGTGGATGTGCCTCATCAGAATGGTGTTGACAGTGGAGCAAGTTATTTTTGTAATGGAGAAATTTTTTATTTGTAATAGGCTATACATTTACTTGGTTTTGAACTCCAAAAAATATAAAAGATTTATATTTAGTGAAAAGATTCTTCCAGAGGTATTTCATGCACATACAATCCACTGTTTATCTCTTCCTTTTTTTTCCTTTTTTACACAAATCACAATAAACTGTACATGCAGTTTTCTACCTTTAACAATATTGCTTTCCATGAGGATTGCTCCATTTCTTTTTTTCTAACAAAGTAAGGTAGGCCTTTTTAAAATTCCATGGCTAGAATCCAGGATAATCCAGGCAGCTCATCTCTTCATCTGTCCATCCAGTCATTCGTCTATGGATTTATCAAGCTGGGTACTGGCAACAACAGAGACAAATATATTTCACTGGAGGTGCTCAAGTCAGAACATGGGCAGGCAGATGGTCATTAGTCTGCTTGGGCTGCCATATAGAATAGCACAGACCAGGTAGCTTAAACAATAGCTTATTTTCTCATAGTTCTGGAAGCTAGGAGTTCAAGATCAAAGTGCCAGCAGGGTTGGTTTTCTGGTGTGGCCTCTCTTGCTGGCATACAAATGGCCTCCTCCTCACTGGATGCTCATGTGGGCTTTCCTCTGTTGTGTACATTCTTGATGTCTCTTCCTCTCCGTGTAAGGACACCAGTCATACTGGATTAAAGTCCACCTCTATGACTTCATTTAGCCTTAATTACCTCCTTAAAGATTCCATTTCTAAATACAGCCAC